ACCAAGTTGTCGATACGTCTGCCCGAGACTTCGGTTCGTATGTGAGTATTGTGAAGATCAAGTACTGCCTGAGTGACCGTCTATACGCAGTCAGTGAAGAGTCCCTACAAGCAGATGATATACGTACTGCACTCATGAGCAGCAGGGCTGGTACCCAGGACAATCGAGTTCTAGCCATTGTAGAATCCTTGACGAAGTGAGAACCGGAAACGATAGAAAGAAAATTAGTAATTAGTACATCAACAGTCCAGCTGGAGTAGAATCGAAGGCGATGTCACAGACATGCAGAACTTCTCAGTACCTGCACAGCAGAAAGACCGAAGAGTTGAAGATGGAACGGAAACGTAGGGACACACAATGGAAACAGATAGTCCGGATGCAAACGAATGTAAGCTTCCGATAGTGCGAGAGCGTGCCAAACCGTTCAAAGGTTCATGACTGAGGCGAAAACTATCCTACTTAACGGGTCCGACATGTCAGCCCCGCTCAGCATGTTTCTAACCGTGTGGTGCTGGTTTCGAGCCTTCGCGGCTACTCGAACAGTGTTCAGGTGCGTCTCAAGGGTCGGAACGGTGTTCCTCAAATGGAGTCCCAGCTCGCAGTAGTGCAGCCGGTGATGGCATTGTCGGGTCAGCCTAGTCATCAGGGTTTGTTCCAGGCCAGTAACGCGCGACCCATGATCGACAGGCCCGCGAAAAGCGATTTTGGTGGTAGTCAAGCTTCACGATCGTCTGGCCAGCCGCTATGGTGGTGTAGTCTGACACGCGATGTGCGCGAGGCGATGGGGTTCACACCGGAGGCGTTTCACTCTGTGGAACATGGCGTTTTCTTCCTTCCGCTCGTGCATGAACGAAATCGATCTTCCATTACCGATCTATTTCCGCCCAAGTGCCGTGCGATAGAAAAGGCTTATCAATCGCGAAGCTGCGAAGTCGCGTTGTGCTGTGAAGCATGTGCGTAGGGCTGGTGATCGCGGGAGAAAGTCGTGCCTAGTAATCGTGGCTTGGCGACCGATGACGTGCGTCATTACCCTGGGCCTGACGCTTGCCAGCCCCTGGGGCCAACTTCCATCGCAAAGAATACGATTCTCGCTCGTCGGAGTCGGCCAAATTTTGCCAGCGCAGCGTGGAACGTTCGGCTTCCGTACGTAGCGACGTAGCTGTAAGCTCTAGGCTTCTGTATATGTAGGCGCAACTCTGCTGTCAAGGTTCGCGCACACAACAACAGATCGTCCAGAGGTCATCATGGCCGCCATACACGTCCTCGATGACTATTATCTTGCCATCACCTTCCTCGTCACTGTTGCATACCAGCTGATCGGCTTTGCGATCGCCTTCTCGTTCAAATTCGACAAACTTACTGATTTTGCCGGCGGCACCAACTTCATCCTTCTTGCGATTATCACGCTTTCGTGCAGCGAGAACCGCGGCGATGCGCGCAACATTGTGGTATCGCTGTTTATCATGCTGTGGGCGGCAAGGTTGAGCGGCTTTCTTCTTTTCAGGATTCTCAAGACTGGCAAAGATGATCGTTTCGACGATAAGAGGGACAAGTTCTGGTCGTTCCTCGGATTCTGGGTGTTGTGAGTAGCTACAGACGTAAGCCGGGTGTCATTACTGATGGGTTACAGTCAAATGTTCTGGGTCTGGACTGTATCTATGCCGGTCACTATTCTGAACTCGCCAAAAGTCACTCGATTCAATCAGCCAGACTTTGGAACAGGTTGTGATATCGCTGGCATCATCCTGTGGTCAATCGGTTCCATCATGGAAAGTGTTTCCGACGTTCAGAAGTACAGGTTCCGTACTGCTCACGGTAGCGACGGCGCAGTCTGCAACGTCGGGTTCTTTGCTTGGACGCGCCACCCGAATTACTTCGGCGAGATGCTCATCCAATTCGGTAGGTGTTGCTCATTGAACTTCTTTGGACCGAAACTGATTATGACAGGTATCTTCACGATCGCTTTATCCCCGGCTGCAAACAACTACGTCTCGGGCGGTGCATATGACGCTCTGTACGCGTCCATTCTCGGTCCATTCTTCCTGACTCTGCTACTCATGTTCGTATCCGGTCTTACGCTGCAGGAACGACCTGGCGCAAAGAAGAGATACGAGAAAGGCAACCGATGGCCCGAGTACGAGCAATACCTCCACCGAACGAGCATTCTCATCCCTTTCCCGCCACAGCTATACGCCAAGCTGCCCGTCATTCTAAAGAGAACCATCTTCCTCGAGTTCCCAATCTATGTCTTCGATCCGGCCAAGCATGCAGACCAAGACAAGGTGCAAGCTAGAAACGCGGAGGAAGGTCAAGCCAGGCCGAGTGATGAGCAAGGCCTTAGATCTTGAAGTATCAGATGCTCGATATGATGATACCCCTTTATTGATTCTCAATCTTTGTATAAACAGCATTATTAGAGCGCTTCGTACCGCATAATCGTAATCCAATATTCGCCCAAAAGGCATGCCCAAATCAAAACCATCATCCGATTATGTGAGATTGGGACATCAAAACTTTAGGTGCAAGGTAACAAGCCAAAAGGCGGTTTCTGTGTGTTCTATGCTAGATCTGTGTACCGACGTAGTCTGATGAACCACACGTCGCCTGCCCCTGCGTTAGGGGTGGCAAGAGCTCCAAGACTACAGATCCCAGCAATCCTCGTGCAGCGCATCTCTCGCCAAAGCTTCCACCGACCTCCGAGCAAGCCGTGTCCATGTCGGCGATGACATGTGAGAATGCAATCACCAGGTCGAGCAGTGGGATACAGCCCGCTTAGTCAGTCGCTGGGCGAATCAATCCACCCGGCCTTATCGCGCGAACATTGAAGATCACCTCACGCCATCGCATAAACCACACCCACGGGACGGTGAGAAGAGTCAAAACCATCGAAATTTGTACCTCATGCTCGCATCTTTCCTTGGCTCGTCGTCTTAGTTGGACGACTAGCAGCCATGAGCCTGCTGGCGCCTGTTTCCAACTCGGAAACTACTTCCATCCCGCGTCGCCAATCGATTAGAGCACCTGGAGATGCGATTGCGTCATTGCGTCACTCTGAGATGGCCTGTTTGTAGGACTGGATGGGTGAATATAAGAGCCTGAAAACGCGCTTCGCCCTGCCGTTCGACCACCCTAGCATATCCTACATCCTTGACACCAATTCTTTGTCATCTCAACAAGACAACACTTGTTCTCACAATCATCGCGAAAGCTAAACCATCAGAATGACTACTACACCAATCCACTCAACTGGCCGCGGAGGTATGCCCTGCGGGATACTTCAATATGCAAGAACAGGAAAAGCTGATCGCTGACGCAGGCGCCGGCAACATTGGCCCCGACACCAATGTCTACACTGATGGAGGCATGGTTCGCGAGGGCGTTCAAGGCGACTCTCTCGATGGGGATTTCTCCACTGGCCGTGGGGGAGCTGGCAACATCGGAAAGTCGCCTCGCGTTGGGCCGCAGTCTGACGAAGGTCGTCGCTCAGTAGACATGGTACCTGAGATCAACCAGCGCAACCCGCAAGACGAGTTTCACACTGGCGTACGTCATGTTATATGAGTAATAGCAGCCTCAACTGACATAATTGTAGCGAGGTGGAGCCGGAAACGTATATAAAGAGAAGCATGGAGGCCACAGCCAGTCACCCGACCGCAAGGGATTGGGCGACAAGGTTAAGGAAGTACTTCATTTGGACAAGAAGAAGGAACATGAGCCATCTCCTTTGGCACAGAACACGACTACGAACTAGACATGATACCCAAGTCATGCGACTTTCCTGGAGGACTGGTAGTGGTATGAGCGTTGGACATCGATGATACCTCAGGCTATAATCTCGACTATGAGACAGCCTTGTTTTCTGTTTCGTAATTAATAGACACAGACACTCTTTCAACCATATCCTTGAGTTTTGTATGACCTACCTGGATTGATGTCTGCATTGTGCCTGACTATGATGGTGGGATGAACACTAGCGCGGACCACGTGGGGTAGTCGCGATCGCAAGTCGCGTCATTGGGCTCCAGAAAATCCACCAAACTTCACACCCCAACTACACCTTTGCGCAACATCACAATGAGTTCCAGCGAACATGATGCCGAGGCCCTCGTGCACTCCGATGACCCAAGTCACCCCGCGAACCACATCTGCACGCTCTGCGCAAAGTTTTACAGCTTGGGCTGGGTACGATGATCTCCAGGCGTCGGGGGGACGCGGATGAAGGCACGATCGAGTGATGGCTAACACGGAGATTCCGCCAGGTGACAGGCACTGGCGGAGGAACGAGCATACGCCATGAGGACAAGATATACATTGCGCCCAGCGGCGTACAGAAAGAGCTCATGAAGCCTACCGATATGTTTGTTATGGACTTCAACAGCAAGGAGTACTTGAGAAGACCACAGGTACATCGCGCGAGATTGAACTATGGGAAAAACAGCTAAGATGATTTTAGGTCCTCAAACCCTCAGCGTGCACGCCCCTCTTTCTTGCAGCCTTCGAACGCGGCGCCGGCTGCTGCATCCATACACACTCACAATGGGCCGTCCTCGTGACCCTCCTCGTCGAACGCGATTTCGGAAAAGACGCGTGCTTTGAGATCGAAGAGATCGAACAGATCAAGGGCATACCGAAAGGGAGGGGGAAGCAGGGTAACCTAGGTTACTATGACCGGCTGCGTATACCCATCATTGAGAACACTGCCCACGAAGAAGACCTGAGGGAGAGCTTGGAAGAGGCGATGGAGAAATACCCTGATTCGTATGCGATTCTTGTGAAGAGACATGGCATTTACGTGTGGGGCGATAACGTACACAAGGCGAAGACGCAGTGCGAGAGTATCGATTATATTCTGCAGCTGGCGGTGGAGATGAAGAAGTTGGGCCTTCCATGGACGAAGTGAAGAGACAGCAAAACTTAGGCGTGATGCATTACGCATATGGGTGGGGTAGATACGAGCAGCCAAGAGAAGAGTGTGTGTATTGGAGGGAGAGCTCTTTGAGCTAATCTTGAGCCGCCATGTCCTCCCTAATCGTTTCGCTCTCGATTTTCTTCATCACCCAAGCGTGTACAGTGATCTCTTTGTTGTTTCCGCATGAAGCCATCGAGTTCTGCCCCCACAGTCTGTCCCGAGTCGCCCCTACTCACGGAACGCAACTTCGACTCCCTCTCTATGAAACGGCGGCCAAGAAACTCGAGTATCAAAACTGCATTTCCCCTGAATCCCATTCGCATGACAAGAACACGCAATCACGATTTTGTGTAAATTGGGAAATGTTGACAGTAGACCAGGAATTACCAGTCGTATGATCCATCGCAGATCCTGTTCCATAGGATCGTAGTAGTTTAGAAACTCTTCCTTGAGATTTTCGGAGTATTGATAGGAGGCTTGAGACCTGTCAGCCTCCATGAGTTCTTTTTGAAACGTCAGAAGAGCGCCAATGGTCCTCACGGAAATGGATCGTATCATCGCGAAGTGGGCATTTCGGATTCGATCTCGAAAACGCTTGAAGGCTTTGTAGTCGTGGAAAGCAAAAGTGTTCTCGTGGTAGAAGATCAGAGCAGCCTCGGAGTAGATTTGTCGGCAGGTGCGAGGAAGGCTGAGCTGCCCTAGATTGCTTTTGAAGAGACCCGTTGATGCAGAGCCGTATTTGCGATATCTCAATCGTTTGAGGTTGGGATACACGGTTATACCGCCGAGTGCGTAATGCCATATCTTTGTGCGGAGTTCGGCTGGTAGTCGCAGGAGTGGCGACTTCACACTGTTGTCTTGGGCACTGGATACTGTCAGAGGGGAATGAGGATCGTTGAGGTCTTCACTTACATCGTCACAAGATTGTCTGGCGTTTGTGAAAGATCCAATAAGCCATCCTCTTTTTGCGCTTCGGCTGGCATCTTGTTACTTAAGGCGCTTGCTTGATCACACTTCTTATGTGTTTGAGAAATCATGGTTAGTCTTGCGCCTGTGGTACTTATCGTTCGATTGGAGTTACTTTAGTTGGGGTTTTGACCAAACGGCTCGGTGTATGTTCAGGGAATTGTTTCAGGTAGTGGAGAAAGTGTAGTAGGAAAGAATTCAATCTTTGAATATGAGTTGAAGCGACCAAGGGCCTGAGCGAGCACATACAGTGGCAAGTGCGGCGACTATTCACTCCGATGCACTGACACATGCTTCTGCAGCTATGGCTGCCTTACTGCACGATGAATGGTCCACTCTACTAGAGACATCAGCTGACGTATTCAAGAAGCCCCCCTTGGTACTTCAGCTCGGCTCCTTTTGACTTGACTTGGGAATCACTATTCAGTGTCTCAACTTAGAACTGCCACGACTATGAACAAGCCCAAGCTCCCAGAAGAGGCTACTCAGCCCGTCCCTGAAGCGCGCTACAACATGCGCAAGCGTCCTGCCAGATCGATCACGGAGTCTTCCAAGCGCGTCTATCGTACTCGCGGCGGTCTCGTCTCCTTGCGGAAAACACCAAAAGACCTCGTCCCCATGTGAGCCCTTATGAAGCAGAAGAGTTGCATACAACTGATAGTACCCAAAGCGTCAAGTCCAACACGCAACAGTCTCCCCTTCTCCGTCTTCCCGCCGAAATTCGAAACAAGATCTTCAGGTATGCTTTGGGAGGCGGCCGGTATATACACCGTTGGTAAGAGATATTACTTTACGATGTGAGACATTCACTGACTTCGTACACCCATGTTTAGGCACGGAAGCACCCGCGAATGGCGCCACCTCAACAGCGATAACGACGTCTTCCGGTCAACACCTGCCAACATCGCCCTACCGCGCGTCTGTCGTCAGATTTACTCCGAAACAGCTACTCTAGTATACTCCGAGAACTTGTTTTCCTTTAACAACGTCTTTGAACTCGATCGCTTTGTCGCTTCACGCAAACATGCTCAGCTCGAAGCCATGACGATGATTATGGTTGATATAAGTTGGGGCGCGTTTCAGAGTGGAAGCGAGGCTCTGAAGATGGTGCTTAAGAGCCTGGGTAGATGCAAGGGGTTGAAGAAACTGTATATGGGAGAGCTTAGGGGTCTATGGAGCACCAAGAAGGAGTTTGCTCGTGTGAAAGAAGCGGAAGCTGCAGTTGCAAAAGGCCAGGCAGGTGATATCGAGGTTATATTTGTGTCGCCATACACATTGGAACCTCTGCGGTGGTCATAACACTGGTCGGAGAGTCAGGTCAATCATCTTGACTGCGTTCGGTGAGGTGGGCTTACCTCGCGCATTCCGGTAGACTAGTGTGTTATGTCATTTCATGCGATCGTACATTGCTTGTAAATGTCATAAGTCCGTGCACACCTAGTCCAGCTCCTTCATTTACCTATTAATCTGCCAGTCTTCTGCCTTCTACCTTCATCGAGAACACCTTACCATACCTTGGTCGGCAATCAATACATCCAATAGACTCAACCAACCAAATCAAACCAACGGAGTTTTCATGGAGGATTCAGAAGAACTTCAGGACATAAACCGCCTGAGTACTTCGCATGCTGAGCGCATACGTCGGTGAGTTCAAAAGTTCGCACATCCGCTACATTTTACTTACAGTCTGACAGAACCCAAGAAAACCAGGCAAACTCCCCTCTCCTCCGTCTTCCACCTGAGCTTCGTAACATCATCTACGAGTATGTGTTACGTATGAATCATCCGATAGAGATGATAGGAACAGCGATGAGGGACCGAGCCGGCCCCAAGCGACATCTTCTCTCCCTCCTTGGAAGCTGCTCGCAGATCAACACAGAGACCGCTATGCTGCCCTACACTCTAAACGTCTTTGCTATAACGGGTTTTAGTTCCAATGCATGGAAGCTACTTCATCATACCGGCCAGAAGCAACTACAGGCTATTAAGAGGGTGCAACTTAGGACAGCTGTGGGGAGTATAGTCATGGGACTAGAGGACGACATGGCCTCTTTAAGGGGCTTAGAAATAATTGAGATATGGGACAGCCATGGCCGGTGGAACGAGGATCTGATCCGACGGATAAATATGCGTTTGCCAGGCGTTGTTATTTCTAAGAGTGAGGCGTTTCCTCAGAAACCACTGAGAGGTCTTCGGGCGAAAAGACCCTCAGGCTCGAGCGCGAAAGACAGAGAAGAGGGCCTCGGGAGGTAGGGGAAACTGCATTGTGAAGTTAGACATCGAGTATTTGTGCTACCTACCTAGGTAGGTACTCGTAATGCCTGAGTAACTGGGTAGAGCCGAGTACAGTCAAGAGACACATAACTTGATATATGGCGCGTTGAATCGAATGAGATTCAAACAGAATTCTGATTATGCGATAGATATGAGGATGAATGTACACTATATCATGGTGCAAATGACTTCCGCGACAACCCTTGTTAGCTACGCGTTACGTCATCAATCCTGGCATACGCTAACCAAAGTCAATATCCCTGAGCGGATGACGCCCACGTCTCTAGCATTCATCTACGAAGCCAGAGAACATCCCTCGCTGGTCGCAAATGCGTATCTTTCTCGTGTTACTATGATGCACACTGTTCGAAAAGTATGAGTCAAAGTTTCATAGCTTCCAAGGTTCACAGTATGACCGGTTCGCCGTTACCACGCCTGCTACTGACTCACCATTCCTGCGCCTCTGTGTCTTAACAGATTATGTTGGTTCAACTTGTAATGTTACCCGACGAGTCTTGTTGGTCGATCAACGGACGGATGCAGTGCTGCAAATGAGTCACCACTACTGCGTCCCTGGTTCTCCCAGCCAGCGCGAACCGCTAGTGAGTATGTCGAGTGTAACCATCCACGGAGTTCCAAAAGAGAAAGAGTCATCTCCAACTATATAAAATTCCTTAAACCGCGTTACTACAATCGTCACGCATTGCCTGTATGCTATCTGCCTTCTCAAATATGACGACAAGCAATTCTACCCAGTGGAGTGAACATCCATCGGCGTTTACGCCCGCGGCGGAGAACACCTACTCGACGCAGTTACAATCTCCTCTGTTTCGCCTCCCTCGAGAACTCCGCGACGAAATCTACGAATACTATGCAAGTGGTAGGCGATCATACGAGTACAATAAAGACACGCATAAGTTGCGCTATCGGGATGCATCTGCGCGCACAGAAAACCTTGGCTTGCTAGCGACTTGTAAGATTGCGGCAAGAGAGATGGGACAAATCGCTTTTCAAAAAGCCGAGTTTAGCACAAGGCGCTCTGCGTATGATGGATCAAAATTCGAAGAGTTGCATTCCAAGGCCGCTCGCTTCCACTACTGTAAGTACGGTACCGTGCTATCATCAGCCCAGAATCTCACTAATGACGCCGCGCTCCAGTGACCAGGCTGGTTCAAACTCAGAGGCAACGAATGCTCGTCTGTGTCGCCGAGTTACTACACCCTTCAGACTTCGTCGATATTGATGCGCGTCATCCATACATGGGCACATTTTTTGGCAACATCCTACAAGAAGCGGTCGCTCGGCAATTCGACAAATTGAGACTCGAGATGCCTATCATCCTGGAGAACGATACAGTCAGTGAAACGTTTGTCAATGCCTTGCGATTTGCATTGGTCCTTGCAGATAGACGCGATCCCGACAAGTTCGCGCGGCTCACGGACAAGGTTTTCGGTCCCGGAATATGTCCTATCGAGCGCAATCTGGAACGCTGCAATCTGTTCATCCAAGGATGTCACAGTGAGATACTTTCCTGGACGCCTGATCCATGGTGGGTACCCCACGACAAAGATTTACTTCAGATGGAAGCGATGCTCTACTTGACCAGTGATCATCAACCACCTTATCACATGGACTGCGATGTGGACTACTATTGCAAGGAGAACACTAAATACTACTTCTCTGCTGCAGCTGTAGCAATCGACTACTGTAAGTGAAGCTTTCTCATGTCTCGTTCCCGTCATCGTAGGTGGATCGACATACACGCAATACCCGTATTTCACGTTGTGTTCCTTGTTTGCTGACCTTATCTCCAGTACAAAGCCTCCCGCCAAAGCAGTGGCTGAATCTCCGCAAGATCGTCTTGAAGGAAGATCGCGTATCTCTAAATCGTGCTGCATGTCATTCACGAGGGTTGATACCATTCTGTCGTAGCTCCCCCACCTTACGCATATCACAACATATCGGACTTTTTGATAGTCTGCTTCCAAGAATGACGGAAAAGCCCCGTAGGCGGCCGTACATAACAGGCGGCCAATGCTTGACAGCGATCATTCCATGGATCGAGGAGACTATGTCGCTTCCCACCTACGGCATGCCTGCCGGTGCGTACCAACTCATCATAGATGGTAGCACGAACGAAGCCGCTCAAGCATTCGACACCATCAAGTATGCCGCAGCCTTGCAGGAAGCCATGCTCGAACAAGCCCGACAAAACGGAGTGCAGCCTACCTCATGGCTCCAGGAAAATGGAAGATACGATACCTTTCCGTTACCATGGCACCTACCGGCAGGCTTGCCGGAAACTGTCCGCAAGATGGTGAATGGAACGTCAAACATACGATTCACAGGATCTGTAGGCGACTTGTGGGATGCGGATCTTATGTCTTTGAAGGTGAAAGACTGGAGTCAAAGGGATTGGCGGATAGAATGGGACGATGAGGTCTTGATTCGCAGCATAGAGACTTCAATGTATGCGGACATGTGGGCGTGGTATGGGTTTCAGTCATAGAATCCCCAGAAGAGCTTTGCATAGTGGAAGGATTTACGCAGTTCTATCTCCAGCTCCAGCAACAAGTAATGAGTCGGTGCTATCTAAAACATGCTCTTCTCTCATCTTAGAGCACACTTTCTTAGTAGTTGTGACCCCTCCGTTTCTCTTACCACTAGTAGCCAACTCATCGATTATCTACAACTTCGCCACCTCCCTCCCCTCCAACAGCCCCTCGATAGTCTCCCTCCACAC